TCCCAGCATCGCTGTCAAAGCTCACAAACTGCGTGTCGGTCCACGAGGCCAACTGGGATGACCGTGGGACTGGGCTGGACACCCTGATTGTAAAGTAGCGCAGGGAGTGGGAACCTGCAGGGACGGCAGTGAAACCACGACCTCTTCCCAGGCCCCATAGCTCCTCCTGCCTCCCTCCACCTGCACTCACCCGTCCAGGTCTCAGGCAGGACCAGAGCCCCTAGAGCAGCAGGAGCGGGGTTCTGGGCGGTGTCACCTGGTCCTCGGAGTTCTGGACTCCTGATGTCATGGCCAACGGGAGATACAGAAAGGCACCCAAGACGTGGAGGCAAAAAGCAAACTCTACTTATGTCATCGGGCCTGGTTGGGATAATTCCTCAGAGAACCAGGAGTCTGTCTTTTGTCCACCCACAGTTTATATAGGGTTGCAAGGGGGAATTAAGTACAGAAGCACAGAGAGCAGTTGATTGGTTCCATATAATATCATTATTGATTGGTCTACAGCAAGTTCAGACTCAAGGTAAGAAACATTAGGGTGAGGTCGACTAGACCAGGGAGACACATATTTGGGAGAACATGTCTGTTCAGGGTAGGGTCGACCAAGGAAGAACTTGCTTGGGCTGAAAACTAAAACTGCTGACGGCCGATGCCATTCTGGACCCATGCCCTGCTGACTGAGGGCCGCGTTGTCCTTCTGTCCTGTAGCCGCAAGTGGCAGTAGTGCTGGCAGACAGAGAGGAAGGGTTAGAGACCCTTGTGCCAGGCCTCACCGCCAGTACCAGGCCTCCACCAGGGACCTGATGGCCTGAGCCTAGGGCTGCATGAGAAATGCATCAGAGTGGGTTACACCCCAGGATGGGTTCAAACCCTGGGCAGAGAGGGAGTCTGGACAGTAGATATCAAGGTATGTCCTTGGCAGAGGAATTATGTTCTGGGCAGGGCTAGCAACAAAATATGTGCTTACAATAAGCATGTATTACACACTACAGAACTTTAGAGTTATTAACTCCAATTTCAGATTAACCCATACCACGTTTTTTCTTTTCACTGAGTCCCAGCACTGGGAGGGGACTTTATAGCCGGAACAGCAGCAACGCTGATTGGCTGCTCTAGGAGCCCACAACCAATACGTGGGAAGCGGGGTCGCGTCAGGAGTGTCCAGGCAGAAGGACCCGACCTGGCTTGGCCCAGGCAGAAGTGAAACCCAGATGGGAATCCCGCGATGAGCGTCCTCACCCGACCGCCCTCGGCCCAGACCGACCGCGGACTCTGCCCTGACCCTCTCCTCCCGCGCCGACTGCTCACTAGG